AATAGCAACAATAATAACAAAAATCTGCCTCTGCACACATGCTTCAACCTGAACAGGTAGAGTCCATGTTATCAAAATCTGCAGCCATATGTTTGGGGATTGGGGAAATAAGAGGACAATAAATCCGATGTTCAGACTTGCATGGAGAGCTGAAGGATGAAACATTCAGTTTCAGCTGTGTTCCTTAAATGCCCTGGCTGTGCTGGGTGCAGTTTTAATTGTTGGATAACAGAGAGCGGACGCTGGACAGAAAATAAGTTTTAGAGTGTAAATGTGAACAGAAGCAATGAGAGCTCTTGGAGGAGGGGTAAGATAAATGACAACTTTGAGGTATTCTTAACCGTAAATGATACTCTCCTGCAAAGTGAGGACAGTATCAGGCTTAATAAATGTCACGACAATATATAACCTTGCCCCGGTTCTCTGGCTGCCTGTGTAGCAGACTAGTCAATGTGAGATTCTCTCCATAGTGCCTCATGCCTAATATATTTAGCAGATAGAAGCTGAGGTTTTTAATTACTGGGAACTGGGCCCCAGAAGTCCAGTTAGAATGAAGTGGCTTGGTTTGCCCTCTCCTCGGGACATTCACATTTCAGAGATAAGAAAATAGTCTCTGACTAGCAAGCAGGTGGTAGTGCAGTGGTAGAATGTAGGGAGAGATGGGAGTGAAAAAAATGGTTCAAACCCTGACTTTGTGGGTAACTGAAAGACATTGCATGAGGCAAATGGCCTGGGTGAAGGGCCCTGAGGTCAGCCAATAATAGCCGAGGAGGTTTTGGACTAGAGAATAGTGGGTTGAATGGAACAGATGGAGGCTGTATTAGGCACTGAGGCCACACCAGCCCTAAGGAGAAAAGTTGGCATGAATTATGCTGCCACATTGTAAATGCAAATATGTGATGGCTTAGCCAATTAAAGAGGTAATGAATGAAGGATGGATTGGAAGATGACACGCCAAAGTTGCCAGAGTTATCATATGTCATTTAATCACAGTGATACTTCACATGCAAGAAGAAACCATGATCAAAAGGCAGCATGTTTTAGTGCAAAGAGCAAATGAATTGAAATGAGGAAACAGTCAACTTAATGCCCAAAACAGCAGTGTGAAAATGGGCAAATTATTATCCCCTCTGTGGGTTTTTTTCTCATTTGCAAGTGAAGATTTTTATAGCACCAAGGGACAGAAATGGAGGATTACTCTAACCTCAATGCAGTTAAGCAGTTGTTATCAAAGTGAAGTTTTTGTTATTACAAAAAGCGAAGTACATTGTATTTGCCAGTATAAGCAATGTAATAATGGCATATGAAAATTATATTCAGGGTAAGATTCACTAACAAGAAAGAGGTTAAGGTCCTGAGTTTGAACTCCCATAGATTTGTGATTAAATCCAAATTTTGCCCTTAATTGCTGCATGATGCCTACTTTTATGAGTTTTCTGTCTGCAAAATAAGTATGATCCTTACTCCATCAGTGGTTAAGGGGACACCTGTTAGGTTAGATAATATCTACAAAGTACACAGCAGACAAAAGCCGGGTGAACAGTAGAATATGTGCCTTTCTTGTGACTTGGTTCCATAATTGAGTCTTCTCTAAGGAAGAAGAGAAGTAATGGCCTGAAGCAGGTGGAGAGGGGAGTGGAAAGTAGAACCATCGACTGGCACAATAATCATAAAGCTGGGAAAATGTGAGAGAATCCGGAGTAACTCACACCCAACAGGGTGATTAACACAAGTTATGTGATCGGAAGTCTCATGTCTGTGCTCTTCTCTTCCATTTCCCCTACAGAGGAAGTTGAGGCAGGTCTATGAGGAACCCACATCTGAAATACTACTTCACAAGTCTCTCCAGGACCCAAAATAATTCCCAGTCATCCCCACCTCCTGGTATTCACGCTCTTTATAATCTTCTCTTGCATAGGGGCTGGACCCAGTAACTTCCTTCTAATGATAGACTATGGCAGAAAGGATGAAATGTCACTTCCACAGTCAGGTTACAAAAGTCTGAGACTGTCACCTGTCTTTCTGGGATTCTCTCCCCCTGGCTCTTCTTGTTTGATTACTCTGATGAAGCTGGCTGGCATACTGTGAGCTGCCCTATGGCTTTGTGATTACAAATCCAGTTAATTATAAAATAACTTCAAGTTTGGAGCAGATTAAAGACCATATTGATAGTAAAGTCTTATGTTTTAGACTGTATGTTGAAAAGCTATATAAATATAAAGAGTCGGCTAACATTTATATCATTAAAAGTTTGGTTTATAATATCCATGCCTGTGGGCTGTTGCATGTAATTAATAAGCTAATGCTTGTAAGTACGGGAACACAAAAAACAAAAATATAAATAAGAGCCAGTTTTTTCTTTAAACTTTATTATGTTCAAGTTTTTTTAAAAAAAATTTTAAACAGGGCAGTGCCTATGGCTCAAAGGAATAAGGCACCGGTCCCATATGCCTGAGGTGGCAGGTTCAAACCCAGCCCTGGCCAAAAACTGAAAAAAAAAAAAAAAAATTAATCAGAAATCAGAAGTATTTTTTGTACTTAAAAATCAATTCAAATTCTCTTTTTTCTGCCATAGTTTGGCTTGAAAGGCTACAAAATAAACCAAATACTATTTATAGTGAACCGCACTGAATAGTAAAGGGGAAAAAATTTCCACATAAGAAAAAAATATTTCTAAATCTAAACTTGCATAAAATGGAAAAAAAGTCCAGATATATTTATAAAGCATGGAAATGTATTTCCTTTTTGTTTTTTTTTCATTGCTAAACTGAATTAAAATTTTTCAGAATACAAAAAGAATTTTAAAAATAAATATAAAATGATGATTCATATTCAACTCCTATTTTGACCTTTTTTGGAAGTCAAAGATTATTTAGTAAAAATTCAGGAAAACTCAGTGTAGCTCATGTAATAAATATCAGGAATCAGGTTTAAATAAAATTCATCAAGTGAGAGACTGTAACCTAGAAGTTAGTCATAGAAATGATAGCTTTTGCATATTTGTAAGCTAAATGGCCGAGTATTCATATTTAATAAATATCATTCAAAAGTTTTCCAATACTGTTTTATGGGGCTTGGGTTATATCAAAACAAAAACAGCTGGGTGGTGCCTGTGGCTCAAAGGAGGGTTCAAACCCAGCCCTGGCCAAAAACTGCAAAAAACAAAACAAAACAAGCAAACAAAAAACAAAAAGTCCCGCCCTCATGGAGCTTAGCAGTAGTTCTCAACCTTCCTAATGCCACAGCCCTTTAATACAGTTCCTGTGGGTCGCGAGCCGCAGGTTGAGAACTGATGGTCTAGAGGGACACACATGAAACCTTAAACCTAATAGATAATAAATCATTCAATGTTAGAAGTAGTTCAGCAGGTGATTTGGACATGTCTGGCTTTTTTCCTTTTGAATCTGAACGTGGGAGTGTTTAGGGCTACTGAGAGAGCCATCACCTGTGACATTCTTAATTAAATTTGGTGATAGCACGATGTTAGAAATGAAGTCCTGGGTAGCTGCTCATAGAGGCTCAGGATATGAGAATTTTAGAGGTGTGATAATATCATTATAGAAATGAATGTATTGATCTTTGAGGATCTTAAACATAAAATAACAGTCAATTCATTCACAGATATGCATCTCTGGGAGAAGTAAGTAGACCTAGGGAAAATCATGTAATTTTTTATCATATTTGTGTTAATATACTATTTTGTGATGAAGAAATGTCCTCTCATAATTGGGAAATCAAATGACATGACAATAGGTTGACAAATTAGTAAAATTCTTTGTCACATTTATAGGCTTTGAAACCGTAAAGAACCTCTGAAAGTGGAGCTACTCCCACCATCCAAGTACCAAAGGTTAATGTGCTCTTTCCATTCAGGAATCCTTGGTATACAGTAGACTTTCCTAATCCAGAGCAATCTAGCAGTTAGGGTTTTGTTGCAAGAAAGAGAATCCATTCCATATAGTTCAGGCAGAAAATGGATTTATTAGAGGATATTTGTCTTGCAGAACATCTGGGGAGATGAAATACTGAGCTTGGAAGCTATAACTTAAGCTAGGAACTATGCCTATCACAGGGGCTTTACCATAAATCCTATTGCCATTTCTGCTAGTTAGTTGAGTGCGTGAAATGAAGTCAAGAACCAGAGGCAGCAGTTCTCCTATATTGATGTGGTAAACGCAACAGCTCAACAAGGTTATGCTTGCCATCCTCAGCACACAATATCCACTTTTGTCTTTCCTGTCTCCCGTAAATGAGTCCTTGATGGACAGATGTCTACACCTATGTCCACAGAGCCTGGGAATCATAATTTAGGGATTCTACCTCTAGAGAAGGCTGGATTCATGATACTGGAGAACCGCCAGAATGGGGGACAAATATTCAAAGGATTTGGAGCTGCCATAAGTGACTGATTTATCTTGAGAACTACGTGCACTTTTTTACTAATAATCTTTTTCTGATCTCTCTGCGTTTATTTTGATTCCATTAATGCTTACTTCTCCCAAAGCCCAAATTACACCTGTGAAAGGCTGAATTATATTATTAAGGAGGTAGTTACTTCTCTTCTCAGGGCAGTTGGCATAAAAGGAGAAATATGTTGGCCTGTTCACTTATTTTCTATATATGCTTAGGCTAATATATACTGGTATGTTTATAATTAGAAGAGTTGCATGAATATTCCTATTAGAGGTTTTCTTTATTTTTAAGTTTATTTCAGTGCATTACAGGGGCACCCACAATTTGATTAAATAATCTGCATTTGTACATTTTACCTCAATGTTGTCAGTGCACTGTTCACCCAGCATGTGCATTATACTTGTTAGGTGTGAGTTTGCCCTCCCCTCCTCCCTCCCCCTCTTCCTTCCCCTTCCTAGATTTCCACTGAATTTTACTTCCATATATTCACGTAAGTGTCAATCAACTAGTTCCAATTCAGTACTGAGTACACGTGGTGTTTGTTTTTCCATTCTTATAATACTTCACTTAGATTAAGAATCTTCTCCAAAAATCTGGCAACTCCAAATTTGCGTGGCATCCTTGGGCAGGGGCTATGCTAATCTTCTTTGTATCATTCCAATTTTAGTATATGTGCTGCTGAAGTGAGCCCTGGAGGTGGCTTTTGATTTTATAGTTCTTTGTCTCAAGAACATCTTCTAAGTAGAGCTCATTGCTGCTGCTGTATTTCCTAACTGGTTTTGACTGCAGAGTACTGGGACAGATGCTCCAGGTGATGTCTTTACGCTCATTTCATCACATATATGTAGGTCATGTTGAAAGTTTAAAATGTCTTGGGAAGTTGCTTGATTTAGTTCTACTTGAGAATATAGAGGTTCTTTTACTATGAAATATAGAAAGTCAGGAGGGAAGAGGTTGCTCTGAGATCGTGCACCCTAGAATGTGAAGGATATCCTCTTTGGAGGAGCAATGGCTTGATATTTGGATTTTTGTCATAAATGATTGCTCTCATTTCAACAACAGAAGGCTGCTATTCTATAGATTCAATACAGTAAATGGCTAGACAAAGCTCGGATCTTCCTCCCTGGTCCACTTAATAGATACCTGCAAAGTGGAAAAAATGAAAGAAAATCTATCCCCTTTTTCTAAGAGAAAGCTATTTTCAGTTGGCAATCCTGTAGCACACTCGAGGGACAGCGTTATGTGGTAATGTAAAAGTGCCATACCTCTCAAGTAAATGGACACTTATCTTATCCCATGTAGTTATGAAAAGGTAATTGGAGTCCAGGGTGTAAAGTATAATGGAAGGTTATTGAGTCATTTTAAAATGGGTGGATTCTACACTAGATATTCTTTATGGCCTAGAATCTTTTGTGTAAGTTTGCTTTTAGAATTTAATAAGCCTAGAGTTAGAGAACTTGGAAGGTATTTGTTCCCTCTTAGGAATCCAAACTTGGTATCTCTCTGACTCCCAGGGAAACTGATATCACTAAACAAGAACCATTTCAGTGCTATTGGGATTATTTTTAGTGACAGCATAAAAAACAATAAATAAGACAGCCTGTCTTTGGCGTTTTTCTCAAGTGATAGGAGCTGAGCTTCTTTCCAGATCTAGGAGCTGAAAACCTCTGTTGAAAAGGTCAGAACTCCAGCCACATACCCAGGACTTCCAGCTGCACAATTTATGAACCGAGTTGCACTTATTAAGATCTAAATCATAAGAATTACTTTGCTATCTACTCTACAGACATAGATGAATCTTTTCTTCAAAGGAATCAGAGGATGTATTAATTTGTTAATGTTTTTTGCCTAGAGATATTCTAAGCCTAGCATCATTTTGAGAAATAGAAAGATAATAGCTAGTGAACCCTTCTAAATTTTCTTGGGCCCATTTTAGAAGTCTCTCCACTGGTGTTCATTCCTAAATTTTTCCCTCTTGGTGGAAGAAGGAGGAGCAAGCTACGTGGATGCAAGCCAAGCATTGTGAAAACAAAATAAATTTCTATATGCTTAAGTTGCTATTAGTAGGGAGTGTATGAATTACAGAAAAAAAAATGCGTTCCTTTGCCACAGTCTCCTTACACCTGAAATCATTTCCTTCTACCTACACTATTTCTCTGATATTAGTGACTTCATCATCAAAACAGCACATTACATTTTTTAACCATTATATTTTCATTCTTTGCCTTGAATCTGAATACCAATTGGGTCTCCAAATACATCTAGTATTTCTATCTTCATTTCCACTGTCTGAATTAAAATCTCAATTGAACAATTTCAATAATTCTCCAGCTGGTGTTCTTCCTTCAGTCGTATTCTTCCTTCTTTTCCAGTGGTTCACAACCCTGACTTCAAGACCCAACTACATCCTGACCATTCAGAAATGTGTTTCATATTTTTTGGCTAATAACAACAAAACTGCAAAATTTGGGAATGATCTGTATACTGTATAAATAAAAAAATATATTAGAATAATTCTTTAATACCTTTTTTCTTAAGCAACATTCATTCCAGTACTTGTTTGTTTGTTTTTTTTTTTTTTTTGAGAGCTATGGAAAAGCATTGAATTTAGCTATCTTAGTGGTAATGTTTTAGATATTCCCAAGAGATGTTTTTTTCTTTCAGGTAAACATCATCTCCCATGTGTATCAGAGCAGAAAAAAAAAAAAAAAACAAACCAGTTTGAGGACCATAATATAAAAACCTACCTATAGTAAAAAAAAAATTAAAGCCTTGATTGGCCCCGTCCCTCCATATACACTTTGATGATTTTATACTCTCATTCTACCCACAACCCCACTATAGTTTCTTGTCATTCAAAAGTACTCATCTCTCCATTAATGGAAGCATATTTTGAAGTTTATATACTTTGCATACTGTGTTCTCTTTATTTATTTATTTATTGAGATAGAGTCTCACTTTATCACCCTCAGTAGTGTGCTGTAGCATCCCAGCTCACAGCAACCTCCAGCTCTTGGGCTTAGGCGATTCTCTTGCCTCAGCCTCCCAAGTAGCTGGGTCTACAGGCACCTGCCACAATGCCCGGCTATGTTTTTGTTGCATTTCAGCCGGGGCTGAGTTTGAACCCACCACCCTCAGTATATGGGGCTGGCGCCCTACTCACTGAGCCACAGATGCCACCCTGTGTTGTCTTTATTTTAAATGTCTGTCTTCCTATATGTGACCTTGGCATATCACCTTTCCTGAAGACTTCCTTAGGCACTACATACGCAGGAATGGGTATCCATCATTTGAATATACTTCTATTACAGTACTTATCATCATATGGCATAATTCTAACAATCATTCCCTAAGGTCAAGTTCACTTAACACAAACATTTATATTTAAATAACATCTTTATTAGTTAAGATGACCTTGATGCCAATAGAAATGGTTCTGTATTCTTTTAAGATGGATAGTCAGATGCAGCCGTAAGGGGAGATGTG